CGAGAGGCAGCCCAAGAGAGGCCCAAGAAGCAAAAATCGTGCCATTCCTATGGGAAAACGTATATTTTTCGCATGTTCGCCTCTTGGGCTTTCACCGCGTCCAAGACGGCCCAAGAGGCGCCCAAGACGGTCTACGAGGCCTCCGGGAGCGCTCCAAGGCTGCGCACGAGTGGCCCAGGACGGCCCCAAGACGGCCGAAGAGAGCCCCAAGACGAGTTCGAGAGGGGTCCCAGACGGAGAAAGCCAACCTCGAATTCCGAGCTTCCGGCGCAAGAGGCTCCAGGAGGCGCCAAAATGCCGCCAAGAGGCGCCAAAAGGCTCCCAAAAGCACCCCAAGACGTTCCGAGAGGCACCCCAAGAGAGGTCCAAGAAACAAAAATCGTGCCATTCCTATGGGAAAACGTATATTTTTCGCATGTTCGCATCTTGGGCTTTCACCGCGTCCAAGACGGCCCAAGAGGCCTCCAAGACGGCCTAGGAGGCCTCCGGGAGCGCTCCAAGGCTGCGCACGAGTGGCTCAGGACGGCCCCAAGACGGCCCAAGAGAACCCCAAGACGACTTCGAGAGGGGTCCCAGAAGGAGAAAGCCACTCTCGAATTCCGAGCTTCCGGCCCAACATATCCCAGGAGGCGCCAAAACGCCGCCCAGAGGCGCCAAAAGGCTTCCAAAATCAGCCCAAGACGTTCCGAGAGGCACCCCAAGAGAGGTCCAAGAAACAAAAATCGTGCCATTCCTATGGGAAAACGTATATTTTTCGCATGTTCGCATCTTGGGCTTTCACCGCGTCCAAGACGGCCCAAGAGGCCTCCAAGACCGCCCCAAGACGGCCCAAGAAGCTTCCAAGAGGGCCCCAGGACAGCCCAAGAGGGCCCCAAGACGGCCCAAGAGGCGCCCAAGATGGCCCAAGAGGGCCCCAAGACGGGCCCAAGAGGGGGCCCAGAGGGGGACCACGAACCGCAAGCTCGAGCCTTCCGCCCCAAGAGGCCGCCAGGAGGCCCCAAGGAGGCCCCTCAAGAGGCCCCAGGAGACCCCCAAGAGGCCCAAAGGAGGCCCCGAGAAGCCCCAAATCGGCCCCCAAAATGCTTCGAACCTGCTTCCAGGAGGCCCCCGACAGGTTCAGAGGCTCCCGAGAAGCTACGTCAAACTCCCAGCGAGCGGCCGGACGAGGCCCCCCACAAAATCACAAGAGGGTTCCAGCATTTGTATCCTTCAGCGCTCTCTGGCCTTCTTCCCCCTGCCCCCTTCCCTGCGACTTTCGTTGACTCAAGCTCGCCTCCTAGCTAGAACCTAAGCGCGCGCGAAGCGCGCGCGTGGTTCTAGTATATATATATATATAGACAGAGCATGGATAGTCAATTCGATATATAGGTAGGTGAATGTGTTCAATGATAGACAGATCGGTAATTTCATGGACATATAGATCGGAGTATGGGGGATATGAGCGGAAGGTTGCCCCGATGGTTGTCCCGATAGGTCGGTATTTTAATGTATAGATTGGTTGATGAATCGACTCGATAGGTTGATTGGTTGGTAGAGAAGATAGGTGGACTGATTGATGTGTCGACTCGATCGACAAATAGACATACACACACATATATATGGATACATATATATATATGGATATATGTATACAGATATATGTAGAAAGTTAGATAGAAGCAAGCGGAAGTAGATGGTCTTTATTTTCCCGCGCACGAGTCATCGCACATCGACCGCCTCCCCCCTTCCCCCCTACCTCCTTATCACCTGTAGGGTGGTCCAATCGGTAACCTAGGGTGGTCCTATCGGTAATCTACGAGAGAGTATTGCCTCGGAGACGCGAATATTGTGCAACTTGGAAGAGATTATGGTCTCCAGAGCGCGAACGCAGCATATTATGCGAGGGCTTATGACACCGGAGCAGGCGGAGGCCTGGAGTGGTCGAGAGATGCGAATTTACAACGTATTCGTGTGACGCGAATACGTTGTGAGCTTCAAGGGATAGATGGGGTTATGGCGTCGGGGGCGCGAACTTAAGTATCCCCCCCAGACATTATGAGAACCCCCCCCCAGGTGTAGCTAACAGGGGCTCTAGCAAGCCTGCGCCGCGGAGCCCGATGGCCTCGCAATGGGGGCTGGCGGACCTGTGGGAGATCGTTGGTTTTTGGCTTCTTCAGAACTTGTTCGGGGTTCCTCCTGTGGGCCTCTTGAGCCTTTTTGGAGGCATCTTGGGCCGTCTTGAGACCATCTTAGGCCACCTTGGGGCCATCGCTGGCTGTCCTCCAGGTATCTTGGGCCATCTTGGCGACTTCTGTTGCCTGCCTGCGCCATCTGCGAAGCTCTGGACGCATATCCATAATTTGTTACATTGGATCGTGGTCTCGGATTCGCGGATCCATCGTTTTCAACGGAGGATAGTGGCCCCTTGAGGGGGGGATGCGTGCACCAGTCCGAGGGTAAAGGGGAGGTTCCTTATTCTGATAGAAAAACCCTACCAGGCAGCTCTTGGCACTCTACTACGCCTCAACGTGCCAGGGGGCACGGTGGCGGAGTTCAGCAACACATCGAGCGACAGCAAAATAGTGCAACCAGCATCGGGCGCAGAGTTTGCCAATGCAGCGCAAAGCGAAGCAAACACATTACACGCTGACGCGACGTGATTACGTCCATCATCGGCGCATACAGACTCGATCAGACAGTCGCAGCAACGAAGCCGAGCACAGCACGAGAACGCAGCCCAACGGGGGACAAACAGCGAAGCCTTCAAGGAGGAAGGCAGCGCACACATGATCACACAGCGTACGAGAGCAACGCATCCATGAACATCAAGCAGAACCAATACACAGCCCATGTGCAACAGTGCGCGTCACATTGAAATTTTGCGCCTGGAGCCACACTGATTAAGCCATGCAACAACATACCAGTTCAACCCTACGCATGGCTAAGCCGGGGCATGTGACGCCGAGTAGAGCACAGTGGTTGCTACATACATAGCCATCACGGCGTTGCAAACGAACGCAGTTCAGAACGAGACACGCACACAGTTAAGCAGATCAGAGTTGTGCAAATCAATGCGTCGCTAGGCAGCACACGCAGAGCAAAGCAGACCGTCGTAGCATTGACAGGACGTTCGTTTTCTTGCCTGCTTCTGTTGGCCCTTCCTTGTTTCCCGAGGAGGTCGAGGAAAGACAGCGGGGAAAGAGCGGGGCAGAGGGTGGAGGGTTGAGAGGGAGAAAGGTGAGGAGGAGAGGGAGCGGCCGAGGTGGAAGGGGAGGTGGCGTCGGGTCCGGTCTCATGGGGTCCGAGGCTGCGGGAGGATGAGGAGTAGGAGGAGATTGATCAGGAGGAGGAGGTCGAGGAAGAGGAGGACGAGGAGGACGAGGATGCGGAGCAACAGGAGGAGCAGGATGATGATGATGATGATGATGATGATGATGATGATGATGATGATGCTGATGATGATGATGATGTTGATGACGATAATGATGTTGATGGTGAGGATGATGATGATGATGATGATGATGATGATGATGATGATGGTGGTGGTGGTGGTGATGCTGATGATGATGGATGATGCCGATGCTGATGCTGCTGATGCTGCTGATGATGCTGATGGTGACGACGATGATGCTGATGCTGCTGATGACGATGCTGATAATGATTATTTTTCGTGACGATGCTGATGATGAGGAGGGTGATGATGAAGATGATGATGATGAGTGATGATTACGATGATGTTGACTCTGCGGATGCTGACGATGATGATTCTGATGACGATGACGATGGTGATGCTGATGATGGTGAAGATGATGACGCTGATGATGCTGATGATGATGCTGCTGATGATGCTGATGACGATTATGCTGCTGATGATGATGCTGCTGATGCCGATGCTGATGCTGTTGCTGCTTATTGTGATGATGCTGGACATGACGGTGATGATGATGACGACGATGATGATGATGATGATGATGATGATGATGATGGTGATGATGATGATCATGACGATGCTGGTGTTTATGATGGTGATGGTGACGGTGATGGAGATAGTGATGATGCCGATGTTGATGATGGCGTGATAATGCTGCTGATGCTGGTACTGACGATGCTGACCATGCTGATGATGCTGATGATGCTGCTGCTGATGATAATGATGACGATCACGATGATGATGATGATGATGATGATGA